GCGGAAGCACGAAGCATACGCATGATGAATGCGAAGATCCCAAAAGGGCTGATATCAAGAAGGCCCTTGACGCAGTCAGAGCAGCACTTGAAGGAGAAAGTTCAGGCTCCGACGCCGACATGGAACAAGAAGGTGAGAAGATGAAAGAAGAACCGGACAAGGCTGATGAGTCCAAAGGGCCAGCAGAACCAGACACGTCCCGAACAGGAGAATACCACTGGTATGATGACAGCCGTCTGATGTCCGAAGTCGGAGATCTGGATGAACAAGGGAGATTCTGCATCGATGGTCGTGACATCGTCTCTGAAGGACCAATGACGAGCAATGACCTCAACGAGGTGATTCGAGACGCCATCATGCGTGGAGGTGGTGACATCTGGAAAGTTCCAGAATTCCTTGCAGCCTACACCGACAAGAACACCCGCAAACCACTCTACAAGAGAGTCGAGGCACCGATGGACGGCTTCTTGAAGATCGTTCCCAACACAGGCTGTAATTTTTTCAACTACAAATTTTACAGCGGTGTTGAATATGGAGTCGATTACCGATTCGGGCAGCGCAACAAGCTCTCAGACTACGAAGATCAAGTGAGCTCGGACCTGAATCGCATCCTTCGGCATCACATCGGAAAAGCTTCCGAACCTCAAAGTTTGCCATGTGATGATGCCGGATGGGTCCCAATCAATGATGTGCTTCAGAATGAAGCCATTTGGAGGCACGAAAGATTGAGGTGGCCTCATGCATACCTGATTCCCCGTGGGAAAGAAAGAGTTCAGGACAATTGGGACGAGCAAGAAGCAACGTTCAGGTTGCAGACGCTCTTCAAGATCATGTTCTACTGTGCCAGGTACGGTCGACGTGTCCGTGAACAGGTGCTCGCATTTGGTATCTTTCCCGACATTGATCGGAACAGTCCAACCTGTCGGTGTAACGGTGTATCGACCGCCACTGACATCCCTGCGGAAGGACTGATTCTGTATCCTGTCGCGGTGAGAGCCCCTACTGGGCATGGCGACGTTCGTGGAAACAATGACGTCGAGCTGAAGTCCACACTACTTTCACACCCATTGGCACCAAGCACAGTAGTGGCGATGCCGGTCTGCTTCCACATCACCTCCAGCCGAAACCTTCGAGGAATCTGGAAGGAGGGTTTAATCCCAGGAGGGTTGAACACCAGCTGGAGGATCTTCACATTTTTCAACCCGTTTGCACCGTGGGATCCGAGATCGTGGAAAGTCACGAAAAGCGTTGATACGCGAAAGGGAGGATACACTTGCCTCTACATTCCCACGGAGGTCCTGATGAACGAGTTCAACGGACGTTTAACTGATTCAGGACAGGTGGTGACAGACCAGATCATCCCATTCTCCAAGATCAAAGGCGGGTGGATTCAGAATTCCAAGACAGCATGGGATCGATTGATTGTGAAGACAGGAGACGAACAGGTCGTCCGCATTGGACGAGTACAGTCTTCCATCGTTGCGACCAAGGAGTCCCTGCTGCGATTGGCCAAGCAATGCTTGAGCGTGGAAGAGCAGCCCTTCGACGAGCTCACCATGGATGCCATGAGCCTCGTCGACAAGTTCGAAAACCACTTGATCCCTGAAGGTGGAAAAGAACAATACGAAGGGCGCATCAGGCTCGTGGATTACATACTCGAAAAGAAACCGGTCACAGAATCAGGGTGCCGGTATTGTCCTCACTGTCTCAAGGAGACGCCAACTGTCTTTGCCATCTGTTTGGCATGCTGGACAGCCCTCGAGAGTCATGGCTTGAAGCCATACAGAATCGTCGAGGAAGAGGACGAGGAGGTAACCACGAAGCAGCAGCTTGATGAAGAAATCCGCCGAAACAAAGAAACCATCTTCAAGGATGTTGTCCACGAGGCACAAGAAGGTGCTTCTCAAGAAAACGATTATGGATTTGACCCGAGCGAGGTCGACTATGATGAGGAAGGCGACGAAGAGATGGACGAAGCAGAAGATGACGAAGAAGTCGTCGCCAACGATGAAGAGGAGGAAGAAGCTGGAGAGGCCGAGGCTGCCCCAGGGGTGGCCAAGATGCCCAAGTGGGCATTAAACCTCGACGTTGGGAGCATCCGGTTGCCCGCTACGGGGATGATCAACACTGACTCATCCGAAGGCGCGGCACAGCTCTTTGACAACGCTGTCTTGGCAAAGATCATGGGCATGTACAGGCACTACTACAGGCAAAGGGTCCAAATGACACCTGAAGACTACCGAGCCGAAATGACAACCGGCCGCGTAGGAAGACTGGACCTTGATGGCATATGCCCATACACTGGCGAAGATGATGACGGAGCACTTCGACGACCCACCGAAGAGGAACTCGACGTCATGTTCCGTGCCAAGGCCAAGCAGGAAGAGTGGATGCAAGGAGAAATGATGTATGGGGGGCGCCCAAGGAATATGTTGATGACTGTGGTCAAAACATTGGAGATTTATGAAAAGCTCATGGAGCGACTGGTGCTCGCTGGGTTCAAACCTGAGGATCTCCAATTCCTTATTCCAATGAACAAAATGAAGGGCACCACCGAAGAAAAGAGTGAGATGAGAGCCAAAATGAGCAGCTTCCTATGCAGACTATTGAAGAGTGCCTTCCCGAACTCAACGCAATACACCTACTTTCGAACTGGTGACCATGGGTTCGAGGATTGCCTTGAAATTCCTGCATTTGCGGTCTACCTGTCCTACCGGGAACAAGAACGCCAATTGGAGCTGCTGGTGACAGCATCTCAATGCAACGTAAACCTCCCGCAAGCGTTCATCGGAAGGATTGCACATGCAATCAAACGTGCCGAACAAGAAGCTGCCAAAGGACATGTACGATGGATGGACCACATTGCACCAAACGTCGATCCAAAAGTCGTGCAAAATGTCTACAAGGCAATTGGGAGCACTGAGGGCGCAAAGAGAGCTATGGACGACGTCGCAAAGGCTGAGGCTCGCGCGTCTGAAGCCGAGGCCAAATCAAGAGGCGGTCCAAAGGCCTATGGTCCCAGATCACCTCCACCAAAGGTCGCACCCACAGCTGCCCCAAGCTACTCAAGCTCATCATCATCTGCTGCAGCTGGCCCCGCAAAAGCCAAAATTGCACCAAAGCAGATGCCAACGTCAGCAAAATCATCTCGGCCTTCTCCCACAGACAAACCACAACCAGCACCTCAATACAAGAAGAAACGCACTGACTGATCCAAACCGGTAACGCTCAGCGAGCGCCCGGTACTGGTGACGTCTGGGCACTATGTGGTGTACTCCATCTTCATTGATGAACATCACACAGATTGACTGGTGAGAGGACTCTGAGCGAGGCCTTGTACAGGACTAGCTTAGTTTCTTTTCTTTTCACCAAGCTCAATTCGATGTAGCCTATTCCAATTCGAAGTTTCCAACCCTTTTCTTTTGTACAAATGCCGATAGCTAGCTGCGAAGCCAGAAATGTTGCGGGGATTCCGATCCGGTAACGCTCAGCGAGCGCCCGGTGAGGATGAACCACTCATGTAGCCAATTCGAGCATCTGTACATCAGCGGAAATTAATACGTTCCCATCCTTCGTGTTCGGCAATTCCACATAATGCCGAACATGGGGGGTGCAAATGGGGACTAGATGGGAATACAGTATACATACTTCCCATTGTATTTCAAGGGATTGACCGCCAAACGCAATGTTTGGCTCAAGCGCCCATATCAAGGAAAATCAATTGCGCTTCCGCTGCATGCCGTTGAGACGTTGGTAAACACAAACGCAAGGTATTCTGAAACGAGTTGAACCACATCCGGAACAGGGATCATTCTGTTCACATTAGTTATATTAGTTATATTGGTTAATTTTCAAAAGTGGATATAACTAATAAAACCATAGGGATATAACTCTAGGGATATATCCGATTTTTCACAACCAATATATAGGGATATAACTAAGGATATATTGAACTATTGGGATGTTTATATATATTTTATGGGATGTAATTGGGAATGTAACTAGGAAATCACCAATGATGTACTAATGGGATGCAGAGATTTTTTAGCATGGGATATCATAGGGATTAATTCTATGGACGTGATATGAATATATCTGGGGGTAAAGCTGGTATAGCTGTATTTATATCTGTATAGCCAATAAACACATGGCTATGACAACAAGCCTCAACAAAACCTAATCGGCACCGTTGTTCTTATCGGCATGATCCAACTTAGTTGATGCTTTAAATCCCACCCATAAAAAACATTAAGCCGCGGCCGACATTGAGCCACGGAATGTGTTTCGATGAGGATTCAAGCAATCCATGGGTAGAAATTGGTAATTTATGAATAGGAATATCTACCATTATCTACCCATGGATATTTATTCATAGAATTCCTATGGTATTGACACTATGAAGGAGGGCGGTGTATCCACGACTAATTTTTTGAACCTATGACAAGAAAAAAAAAACCACGACTATTCTAGAAAAAAAAACACGACTATTCTAGAAAAAAATTATCCGACTATTTTCACTTCTACTGTATTATCGAGTCGTCATATTCCAGCCATAGGTGCCGTTGCCCCATATGAGAGGTTCAACTTGTGAAACCAAAACGTGGATTAAGAAACTACACGTGCGTTAAACCATTCTTGAAGGATTGAAGGATATAAGTGGATGTAATCTAGAGATGTCTAGTGCCATCCCCCCTGAAGTCGTAAACGCCAGATTTTTCGAAACCCAATTTGGACAGATCTGATACCATCCGAGAATCAATCATGGCCATGGAAAATCATCCATTGATAATCATTTATCTAGATGTTTTCCCCATTAAAACTAAATTAAAATATATTGGCACATATTAAAAGCCTCGATTTCTAAGGGATTTTCCCATTAAAACCTCCATTAATAGTGGATTTCCCAGCTAGCCATGTTTGAGGACACCAGCGGGTGCACAAAAGCTAAGATGAACCTGGCTTCAAGTTAGGGTGGAAAGGATGCTCCTAGCCTCGGCCAGGAATTTGCGAAGGCCTTGGACATTTTAAAAGTCGAGTCACATTTGCCTCCAGGCGCCTGTTGCTGGGTACATTGGGTACATTTGGATACATTTGAATCATGACACTCCCGGAGGATGGAAACATTCAAACCGACAACCGTGACAAGCCCTATAGTTGGTGGCAAATACGGACGGTAAACATCGTGGGTTCAACCGTCGATTTTCCCGCCGACAAAGTCTTGGGACCGGGATGACTTGACCGTAAATTTTTTGGGGGACCCATGATCCAAACTTCCAAATTTCTCCAATTGATGCTGCCATTGAAATCCATTGAATTGTTGATTTTTTTGGGACGTGGCGACATACTCGCAATATCTATGGATCAAAGTTGCAGCTTCAGTCTGAGTTGGATTTTATTGCACCCAGATGTTGCACATTTATTCTGCAGTTTCTGGTGACCTAATCCACGATTTGGACACCGAGAAGTTCAGCACAGTGGATGAACTCCAAGACAGCCTGGCGGATTCCTTGACCGCTGCCACTGGTTTGTCTCGCTTCCAACAAAGACTCTTGGATCATGACAGCCTCGACAGCCTCGACAGCCATGCCTCATCCACGTCCTCGGCGCAGCTCGTGGCATTACAGTTTTGCCCGGTGGATGTGGAGCAGACGGAGGAAATGATGTCTGCCTGTCAGGCAAACGATGTGCAGAAACTGGAGTGGCTACTGAAACAGCCACAGGATCCCAATCAATTGGATGTCTTCGGCAAGACACCTCTGCACTGTGCGGTGAAAAATGGTGCCAAGGCCTGTGTGAAACTGTTAGTTTCTGCAGGTGCTGATCTGAATTGCCAGGATGCAGATGGTGCTACACCGCTACATTTGGCAGTTCTCCAGGGCCACACGGAAGTTGCTGGTCTACTGCTTCAGCTTGGGGCCAAACCTGACGTGGCCACTCAGAAAGGTGTCACACCTTTACAGGTGGCGGTGGCACAAGGCCATCGGAATCTCCTTCGTTTGTTGCGGCCCTTGGAGCTCAGAACTGACCCTGGCAGCTGAGGCAGCTGAGGCAGCTGAGAGAGCTGAGGGAGCTGAGGCTGACCCTCGCAGCTTAGGCTCTACCAGTGGTGTAGATGTCAATTGATGCTAGTTCATGGATTTTTGCCCAAATTTGGCCAATTTCCAATCAGAAGTGGGCATATTACCAATAGAAGCACGAAATTGGGGTGCTCTCAGGTGCAGCGGTTTTCCACCACAGTTGTCAGGTATAACTCAGATGACCCCACTGGTAAGAGGAATTGGCCTTGGAGACAAAGTTCTTCCATTTGGGTTTGTCCAAGAATGGGGTGCCCAACGAAATCCCGAATCCAATGGTTTAAAACATCATGTTCATTCATTTTCCATGGTTTCATGGCAACTCATGGCAACTGGAAAAAAAACATAAAAAAACTGGAGCAACCTATTTGAGGCAGCGCATTTTTGGTCGGTCAACACGACTGGGTTTTAGCTCCAGCGCTTGCGCTGGAAATTCGTTTCAGGCAGCTGGCCGGAAAGGCCAAAGACTGGCTGGAAAAAGTGGAAGTGACTCTTTCAGGGATGAACACCCTCTGGTGTTGGAATTATGTGGGGTGCCATTCAATTTTTATGGTGTGATTTATCATCACTTTTAAAAATTATTAGCATTTTTCATCATTCATTATCATTTATCAATATTTATCATATTTCCTATATTTCCTCATCATTGATTCTCATTTATCATCATTTATCATGTTTGTTACAGATGGATTCAGGGTGACACCATGGGCCATGGGTGTTGTGTTCTCCTGGGGATCTCCTGGGATCGGACCATTGGAGGCTGGAATCTGGAGGATTTACTGGGCACAGAGAAGATGTTCAGGACCTGACCGTTTCAACATCCGTGTTTTTTGGGCCCAAACCAAAAGCCCAAAAAGGAGGTTTCCTGAGAAAATCAGGCCATGAATTTCTGGGTGGGGATTTTTCATGGGATTTATAGCATCCCCAAATAGCTGGATTTTCCGTGGACGTCTTTGAATGGGGAGAATCATCATGAGATTCTGGGCTGCTAAATCGTGCAACAGCAAGAGGTTGAGTCTATCTTGTGCCACAAGCTTCAGCTGTGAAGACAGATATGAAGTCTACAAAATATAGACCTGTTTTGCTTTCCGGCTCACTTTGTTTCAGAATATCCAAAACACTACTTTCTTGTGTCTAGATTTATCACCCATGGGAATCCTTGAAGAAACCAGCCATGACCTATCATGCTCCATTTCTCCACATTTCGGATTCTCATGATTAGTTAATTCTCATTCTACAGAAATTCTACATTTCTCATCATTTATTTCTCCACATTTCTTTTACGGTAACCGATGGCAACCGTTTTTTTATTCTCCCTGATTCTCATCCAGGAAAGCTCCTGTGACCAACCGACGATCTCTAGAGCTCTTCCAGGCTTTGATGACCTCCACACATCAGAGACCTGAATGAAATGCTGAAACCTTGGGTTATAACATGTTATAACTCAGCTTTTGCCATACATGGATATACTGATATACTTATTGTACATGGATATAACATTTGGAGAATATCATTTAGGTTGATCTAACTTGTCTTTTTGCTATTCTGATGGAGATATATTACATGATATTACCCTAACCAGCTAAAAAGTAAGTTTCTTGCAAGGTAGCCAAGATTCACAGTGTTTTTTGAGGTGGGTTTTCCAATTGTTTGACAGTTATTCTATCCATCAACAGGTATGAACTGGTGATTCCTCATTTTCTCAAGATGATCTTAGTCGATTCATGTCTATTCGTTGTGGACATGTCCAACATCGATTTGGCCCTGACATGGCCATTGAACAGGAAATCAAGATAGGTCAAGCCACGCCGGCACAGAACAGTTTTTTGGGGGTTTGCCAACAAGACACTGGGAAATACATTCATTAAGACGTTTTCCTGGGCATTTTACATCATTTTCCTGGGAATATGCTTGTTGAATTCCAAGCCTCCAGAAATAACAAAAACCATGGGCAACTCGGACCCCTTTGCAGAGCAGCTTCTTGAATTGACGTTGGTGCAGCAAATTGCAGCAAAAGTGAACAGAATCGTCAGGAGTTGCATGATCAAAAAAAAGCCAATGAAATATGAACTATAAGAAACCATAAAATCTAGGTAAATTATAACGACCTCACTGCGACCTCACTGGAAATCATGGTTAGTAAGGGAAATGATCCCCAAATGGCCTTAATTCAGGTTAGTGAAATATTATAATTTACCCAGATAAAATAACAGGGATAGGTAAATCAGGAAAGTTGATTGAATCCTTTGATTTTTAAGTGAAACAGAGAACTCTTCGGTGTTTGCCGCACATCTCTTTGGTATTGAGACATGGCTAGCTGGAACATCCCCTATCAACGATCATTTACCCTCTGGTTATGTCAACATAGCTATTGAAAATGGCCCATAGAAATAGTGGATTTTCCCATTCAACATGGTGGATCTTTCCATAGTTTTTTGTATGTTTACCAGAGGGTAAATGGGATCATCGACCTAAATGATGTTTTTTTCTCAGCCATGGTTGATCCTATCTGCTTAGGAAGCGATGGACTCGAGACCGCAAGACTCGGGGTGATGGTGCTGCCATTGCGGATTCCTTTGAAGTGATCCGTGTCATCGAAGTGCAAAACCAGGTGCAGCCGAGTAGCCGTGATTGAAGTAAAGTGCTGTTTTTTGTGTTTTCAATATATATACTGTATATATATATTATAATTAACTATAATTATATATATAATAATCATTTGTATAATTATATAGTTATATACATATTATAATATAGTATTATATACATAATATACATTCATATATAAAATACAACCGGAACCCATTGAGGGCCAATGACTGCAATGTCTTTGGCCCCCCACCAGCCATGTCCAGGCGAGCTGGGAAAATTATCACCGTCGCCGAGATGAGATTGTGAAAGATTGCAATCCACCGGATCGCGAAGCGCAGCTTGGTGCAGCAACTCTCCACCGGCCCCACGTACATTTCCGGGGCAAGATGGATGGGTTCCATTTTGGGTTGATCAAAAAATGGGGGATGTTGTTTAAAAATCCTGGCACTTTCGAAGAAAATGACAATTTTCGCCATGATTAATCAGTGGATTTGGAGCGAAGATCGCCAACAAATCACATGGCACATGGTCACTTGAAACAGCCAGTATCTGCTCAGGGGACCCCAGGCTTACGGAAAATGAGATGCAACCAGTCATGTCAATTTGCTTCGCAGACATGTTGGCTGTGAGTTGGCATGCCATTTGTGAGGTACAGCAGAGTTGCAACTGTGTTGTACATGAGATGGTATTCCCCATGGTATTCCCCATGGTATTCCCCAACTCCCATCCTTTTTTTTCAACCCAAGCATCACCATGACCCATTGTGGGTGCAACATCGAAGCCAGGTATGCACCGCTGTCCGACGAGCAGTGGAATGAATTCAGCGGACGGGTGATGACTGAAGCCTGTTGGGATGTGGCGGGCCGGGCCGAAGATGGAAATAGAGCTCACTTTGGAGCCAAAATGTCAATGAAGTTGGGAAGAACATAGGGAAAATGTGTGAAATTTACGAATTGCTGTAGATTCTTAGATTAGTTCTACCATGGTGCACATATATGCACATGATTACATTATACTACATGATATTGAATACCCTGTGGTAAACTAACATAACTATGGAAAGATCCACCATGTTTAATGGGAAAATCCACTATTAATGGCCATTTTCAATAGCTATGTTGACATAACCAGAGGGTAAGTTAAGCTTTTTAACCTGGCTTTACCCAAGGAATCCTTGGGGCACGAGATCGTCTCTCAGTGTCGACTTTCGCCCTTGGATTCTCGTGTCATGGCGGAACAATGGAATCCCTGGAAGGGGATCAGGGGATGGCCGTGGTCCCCCAGGGATGTTGGTTGGTTTGTAAACCCATAGTAAGTATAGATATATCTATCATAAGCCATAGAAATAGTTGATTTACCTATTAAAAATGGTGATTATATGGCTATGGATCAATACCTATTAATACCATTTTTAGGGGGATGAACATCCATTTACCAGCTATTTTGATGTGAACTACAGGGGTACAAGGTTTTGACACACTGCCATATATCTACCATAAAGCATAGTGAAATTGGAGTTATTTGCACGCACCAACTTGTCGCGTTTTCACAGCTCACTGGGGCACCACCTAGGGTTGAAATGGTTGAAACATGATCAGTTCTGGAGCCAACACCTGTGACCAATCCCAATTTACTGCTGGCACGGCATGGGTTAAAGTTTATGACAAAGTTTTTCCTGGCCCCCAAGTTTATTTTTTCCCATTAAATCCGCCAGTAAACCAAGGTTACAGAGAAAAACATAACATTACATAAGATATATGTACCCGGTACTGAGCAGCGTGCAAAATCCTTTTTCATTGATGATGATAGGAACTTAAATACTCCCCAATATATGCTGGATTATCCAAATTATCCAAATCTATAACTCATCCCAATATATCATGATATTGTGCATGATGATCATATCATTGTCATCCGCGACTTGGGATGGCCGTTAATGAACGATCCATCTACGTGGACAGGCTGCAACGAGTTCCTGTTCTTCCACGGTGTCAAGCCACAAGTGGCTGACCTTATCGTCCTTCAACGGCATTGCCATCTGTGTAGGGTGAAGATGGGAAGATTTATGGAGCATTATGCATACACACATTATAATATATTACACAGTAATATGTATATATATATATAATTTAGTAGATCACAACGTTATATAGTATAGTATGGTACAGTAATGTAAAGTAAAGTATATGTACAGTATAGTTTAATGTACAGACATACATACATTTATAATATTCTATACTGTAATTGCTATGTTGGGGTGCTGTTCTACTTATCCGCAGGATGTTTTATCGCCGAGGCTGAGAACCATTTCGACATCTCCTTCGCTTCTAAGGCCCGAGGTTTCAGGGTTGCAGTGGTCAATTCCAGAGGGTTGCTAGGGAGATTCAATGGGATTTTCTGGGAGTTAATGAAGATACCATAGGATCTATAATGAATCAATAACCACGGGTTGGTACATATAGCAATATTGTGGCATTTTATCGCCGTTTTTAAGATCTTAGATTGTGAATTTGCTGGAGTGATTCCAGTCATAGGTCCCCCCAAATAGTGATGTCATTTGCTACGAAGATATCTAAAATGGTACCACCCCACTTAAACATCCCAGTAAAACCTGTCCAATCCCATTAAAGCTCCATTAATATATACCCCATATCCCATATCCTGGCAGTATATCCCAATCATGATATCCTCATGATATCCTCATGATGTTCCAACATTATATCCAAGCAACTGAATCCCATATGATATCCCAATCATATTCCCATTGGATCCAATTCTTAAATCCCCATAGAACAGCCCACCCCCATGAGCTCGGAGAAGTCCCAATATCCATCAATATCCAGAAAAATATCCCACATCCGAAGATGAATGACATCCCAATGACATCCCCCCTTGAAAAACATCCCAGAACCAAACCTCTAAAGTTTCACGATGTTTCACCGTTTCCGCCAGGATGGGATGTTTGGTGCTGGTCTTTACTTTGCCGAAGCTTCCTCCAAATCAGACGCTCGGCGGATCGTGATTGGGACGTGGTTGGTTTTTGGGACATGGGATTCGCCACAGATAGCGCCTACAAATTGGAATGGGGATGATTGAAATCTCTGAAAATCACGGGAAAAGTGGAGAAGGTTGATGAAAAATGATGAAAATCGGCGTTGTCATATTTGTCATCGCGATTTGAATCACTAGCGGGGACTTCCAAGGGGATGCTCAGTTCACCAAGGACGAATATTGCCAGCCCAACGAGAACGATGAGCCTCATAGCGGCGATTGGGTTCACCGCTCCACTGCTAACCGGCCTGAGTGGCTCCAGTTAAATAATGTTAAATATATAAATGAAGAATGTCAGGAATTGGTGACCAATGAGCCACATTTTTGTGGCTCTTCAGCCAGCAACTCGAATGCTCCAGGTCCAGGTTATGACTGCCAAGGTACCCCATCATCATCGTCAGAGCAACTTGGATCGAAGATTCCACCGATGGGCTCAATGTCCTAAACTCCTAAACACGACACGTGATAGCTTCCTACTTACATTACATTGAATTGCATGCTAGTACATGTTATATGAATATAATATGAATATGAATGTAGTATGAATATGAATATATAACACATAGAAGAACAACACATATTCTCATATACTCTCATATTCATGAATCATTTTGTTATCCTTCTTTTTGCATATGATCAAGGTGTCAAAGCTATGCAGCTTCAGCACAGCCGAGGTCATTCTGGGGCGACCGAATTATGTGGATGCACCAAAACCTTTCGATGATCCAGGCTGGGCGAAAACCTGGGGTTGAAGCGGTTGAAGCGGTTGAAGCGGTTGAAGCGGTTGAAGCGGTTGAAGCGGTTGAAGCACTGCAACCATTGGTTCCCTCGTGTTTTTTCGTTGATCTTCAAGGGCCCAAGCCAAAAACCTCATAAACTGCTCAGCTGGCAGAGAATTTCAGGGAAACTCGATTCGCATGGATCTATGGATCTTCCATGATCTTCCCGTTGAGTCAGATCTGTCAGATCTGTCAGATCTGTCAGGGAGAAGAGCCTTGGAACACAGCTGTATGAGTGGCTCCTGCCATTCCGTGATCGGCCGCTTGGGCGAAGTTGGGCGGGGTCCCAATGAATCCAACAAAAACCCCATGACGAGTGACTCACAGCAGGACTGGGGTGAAGCTCATTGGAGTTCCTTTCGGCAATCGCAGAACCAGTTGCATCATCTAAAAAAGTCCTTGATCGAAAGATGTCATCCCAGATGGCTTGTTTTCTCGTGAGGTGATCGAATCAAGGCAGGTTTGCCGGGAATGGGTCATTACCGGGTCATTTCTGAATCACCAATAGAATGGGCATGAATTCCATTGAATTGCAAGATTCTAAGATGTTCAAGTCATACACATCATTTCAAGATGGCAAGTTCAACTCGCGGTACCACTGGAAGATGGGAGACGAGCAGAATGAGGCGCCAATCATGCCACCAGATCTTGGGAAATGGGTGTGTCTGAAAATAGTGTACCCCTAAACCCAATGGTTTTGCTGATCATTATCCCTATTTTTTATGGCTATTTGTTTGGGAATATACCCTATTTTCCACGGAAAATGAATGAAATGAATGGACCATTTCCATTGGAAATGCTTCACGAGGTGTCCAACACCTACCGAGAGATGGCCCTCGCCTCAGCCGATCACATCAGATCTGAAAGATATCGAACATTGGAATCAGTGGACCTTCATCTGAAAGATTTCTGGTTGCTGGTCTGATTCTTTTATATTGTATAATACGGTATATATATATATATATATATGTATATATATATATAATTATATACGTTCCATCTCTTCATGGAAGAATTCAGTCTCCAGTTCCCCGAACTTAGCCAACTTTTGGCACAGTTGGCTGACAAAACGATACAACACAATGCAAAGCACAGATTCTTGATTCCAGAAGTTCGAAAACTGAATAGCCAGAAGCAACCATTTATGGTCTCGCTCCCTGAAGCCCCCATTTTTTGCTTTGGACCCTGACCCCTCGCGCCCCAAGGTGGTCTATGATCATTTTCAAGCTTATCCTCATTTCATTCTTTGGTATCATCGAAAGTGACAAAGTCATAGAGCTCAGTGACGAACAGCTGATCTGGTAGATCTGGTAGATCTGGTGTTCATTCCGTCTATCAGTGGATGATTCCTCAAAAATTCCTCAAAATGAATGGGACAGATACTGTAAAAAGAAATCAGGGGTTACACCAGTTATACCAAGTTCTATCCCAGTTTGCAGCCATTCTCCCAGATATCAACCAGTTCGATGTGCCATTCTGCTCCACCAAGGTTTCATAACTTGGTGATGCTGGAAATGCCTAGTGAGATGCGAAAGGTGGCACCAACTTGTGACATCTTTTCACCTGAATCAAGATGAGGTGAGTTTCTAAGCTCCAAGAAGTAGGATGAACATGGGTGAACAAGATGCTTGCCATGATCATTGGAGGTTTTATTGGATATGGATATGGTGCCAGCATCATCCTGCCAATCCCCTAGTTGTACAAGCCGTTTGTTTCACATTGCTCCGCGCTGATGTGGCTTTCCTTCAAGGAAAGCGGCCGGGCGATCCGTTTGCAAAGTCTCCTTTTGGTGTTTTTCATCCCGGGTGATCATTGATGATGCAAACTTGAATTATGGGACTTTGCATCAACATGTGTACGGGTCAAAATTTGCGACAAAAAAAAACGACGATTTTGGTGATGTTTTTTGCAGTAAATCATCCAATTTGGACCTGTGCCCATATGGACCTCAAAGTTTATCAGTGTAGGTCCAACTGTGACGAGAAAAAATGCTGCTGCTTGGTGATTTTCACAGATTGGCAATTGACACTATCTCCTATTCCCCAAAATGGGATTTAGGTGCCTCAAATCCAATGTTGATAGCTTCAAAATGCTTTAAAAACCAATTCTTGACGTTATAGTTATGGTCTTTTGGTGGTATAACTATCTATAAGTATAACTTTTGGTCTAACTATTTATTGGTCGACAAAAGCATGGTCTACAAGTTGATAGTCTTTTGGTACCATATGTTGATGCGGCACTATCAAGGCCTGGAATTGATGCGGAACTGTCGACCAACATTGTTCGACAGGCAGCGGTACACATCTGGGTTTCTTTGTGGATGATCCAAAAAGGACATTTTAATGGCAATGGCCATCAATGGCCATAAGACTTATGGCATCTTATGGCCATTAGATTGTTTTAGTATCTGATTTTGGGATATTTTGGACTCAGTCTGACGGTCAGTTTTGGTCGTTTGCAGGCTCTGCGACTCCTCTGGCATTGCGGGAATTCGGCGCAGGGCCGCGTTGAAACCCTGCAGGCGAGCGTTGAAACCCGGTGGTGAAATCCTCTGCTGAAAATGCTGTGAAGATGTCGTCAGGCCGGTGGAGCAAAATGTGTGGCGGCCTCAGATGTGGCCCTGTTTTTTTTTTTAATCTTAAGCATGTAGAGCATATATATATATACCTACATGTATATACACACATTATACACTTTGACTCGTAGATATGAATTATATTGTATTGATGTTTATGATATAAGTTATACAAGTACTATCATCTTTGATGCATCCTTTTGGACGTTTTTTGCTGGGAATAGAAAGGAAGCACTACCCACAGGGGTTATGTCTGAAAACAAGGTACTCCATTCCATCTGCATGGTTTAGATCCTCGGTTTCTGAATCCTAGAATTTACTAGTAGTAAGAACATATTTGATTGGGGTAAATCACATATTTTTGAGACAAATCCACGTCATAGATGCCTATACCGTATTTTTTGTTGGGTTTCATTGTTTCATACTCATTTGGAGGTTTCCTTAAGTGGGGGGACCCCGTGGGGTACCCCTAGTTTTCATCCATGTAAACCATCCATTTTGGGGTACCACCGTTGTAGGAAACCTCTATTTTTGTTGTCGTCGAAATCCCCACATCCCTGTTGCAGATCACAGACTTCTTGTCCCATGACGACGCCAAAGTGCGAGAAGCCGCCGGGGGTCCACGAGTTGGTCAGACCAACAGCCAGGTATTAAACAATATGGGTGGCTGGGAACCATCAATCCACTTTCATAGGGATTTATAACATAAATAAATATATATATATATGTATATGATTGTATATGTATGTATCTATTGTATATCCATTATAATTGGATTCCCATGATGGGATGGATGACCATGCGACGTATGTACCATCTAAAACCCATGTCACATATGAAATCTATAGACTATGGCTATTGGACATATTTGTCCCACTACTATTCTTGTTTTGCCAAGGCTGTTTGCGCCCTGAATGTCATCTCTCTAGAGACACAAGGCGGGTGAGTTCACCATGGCAACAGAAGGGGCCGACGGATGTCCTGGTCTTGGAGTCTTGCCATTCTACAGAGACTGGATTGAATCCAGCATCCCAACATATCCCGCGCAGGTAAAAAAGATGTCTTGCAGCACTCCTTAGAGGCAATCGCAAGGCCACAGCGGCCACGCGGGGTCCGTTTGCTGCATCTGGTGGCTGTTGATGTTGGACATCTTTGGAGGCAATACCTTGGGGGTTCACTGATCCAGCAGGATCATCCATAGCGAGTCGGAAACCACCTACCTGTGGGCGCCTCAAGTTGGGACGCTTCTGCTTCGCTGGCAATGTCAACCCCCGATGAATCAAGCCTGGTTAGTGACTTGAGGGGAGGTAACTACCAAGAAACAAATAGATTAATTACTATATATTATATATGACTATATTAAAGATGCTAGCCCTGCTCGAATGAAGAATGTCTGCCAATCTTGGTTTGATATGAGGTGTTTAGAGGTTGTTATTCAATCTGATCCGGATCTATGCTGCAAAAACCCTTCCCGCAGGATTTTCGCACTTGAGAACCACAATGGTAGGAGTAGCTTCGCCACCAACCAGTGAACGGTCTGGTGGTGCCGCAACTGCAGCTCATACTTTTCATCACTTTTCCTATGTCTCTTGCTGAATCAAGAAGATCAACAGACACAATGCCAGTTCGGTCTGTGCCATTCAGTACCCTCTAGTAAACTAACATAGCTATGGAAAATATTGGAAAATCACCATTTTTAATGGGAAACTCACTATAAATGGCCATTTTCAATAGCTATGTTAAATTACCAGAGGGTATTCCCATTTTTTTGGGCGCATGGCACAACCCAATTGATCCAGTTGGAAGATGTTTTGTTTCACCAGGCATGAGACCTGCGTCCAGCTGTGTCGTTGCGCTGCCGAGTTGCCGGTAAGGAGATCCCAATGGCAGGGGTCAACATGGTCAGACCAACCATTTCAGTCCCATTCTTGCTGGAGATGGTAGAGATTATTTGGAGTAGCAATTTTCTTGAAATTTTCGAGGTTTTCACTTGGAGTTGGAGGAAACTGAGGAAATTGACACAGCTGAGGCCTTTCGATTTGCCTTTGCACGGCACGTCCTGAAATCCATCTGGTTGTCTGGATCTCAGAGGTCGAAATCTCATCTTTATCTTTGAATTCAAGTTACATCTTTTTTGTGGCCCAAATCTGGTGTTGGCAAGGCTCGAGAAGGTCTTTGGCACTACCAGTCTAGCAGCCATCAGCCCATTGCTGAGCTCGAAGGACGGATTTTTGTTGGGGGGGGTGACTGTGTCAATCATTGGACATGGCAAATATATTGCTCTATATATAAATATTCCACAATATTCCAAATAGATTATTAATATATGTTGAATATCCAGTTTATATAAGTTATACATGGTGATAATTGGTATAACCCAATATATCATAGAATCATTCAGACATAGTTATACATAGTTATACATAGCTATACATAGTTATACATAGTTATACATCGTTATACATAGTTATACATAGTTATACATAGTTATTTATACATAGTTATTTATACATAGTTATTTATACATATTTATTTATACATATTTATACATATTTATACATATTTATACATATTTATACATCGTTATTTATACATCGTTATTTATACATCGTTATTTATACATAGTTATTTATACATAGTTATTTATACATAGTTATTTATACATAGTTATTTATACATAGTTATACATAGTTATACATAGTTATACATAATTACTGATATTAGTACTATTCGTTATAGATATTCGTACTATTCACGTCGCTTCGCGACGGCAACCGCCCGCACCGCATCGTTGGGCAGCCGCTCGTAACTGCCAATGATGTCGGCCATTGAGACCAAAAACATCCGAAAGTACTGATTGTCGGAAAAAAAAAACGCGAAGAATTTGATAGCCATGTATAGCGGACCAACGCAGTTCAAAAAATAACGAAAAACATGAAAAAACGGCGAAATTGCTGTTATTTACAGTGTTTTTGCGCGGTGAGAAGCAGAAACCACTGCAAATACCATGGTTTTTGAGGGTCAGGTGGCCAAAAACACTGTAATTTACAGTGTTTTTTTAACCAACGTCAAAAAACACTGGTATTTACGATGTTTTCATTCACACCGTAACATAAAACAGCGTAATTTACGAGGTTTTTTGGAAGTTTTGAAGCTAGCCGTCAAGCATGCAGAAAACAGAAAAACACTGTAAAAACCAGTGTTTCTGCTATCACAAAACGACGAAAATCAGTCCGAAAACGGGTCCAAAAACTCAAAAATCCGCCTCCGGGCCCGGCCACCTGCGGAACCGCAAAAAAAGATGTTGCAAACCAAAAAATTGAGGTCAAAAAGTTGAAAAACACTGGGTTTTTTCACTTTTCGCTTGCCGATTTTGGACGGGCGCGTTCACGAACAGGTGTCTTCCGTACTGTTTTTTACAATGTTTTTTGAAGGCGAGCGTCACGACCTATCAAAAACAGGAGGTTTTGGCCGAAAAATGCCCCCCCCCCCAGGTAAACCTGTAACCTTTTACGAGTGCCATCCGGAAGATCACGCCCCAGCACCTTCGGTGCGGGCGGATTTACATTTTGGATGGGGAATCCTTTTGTCGCAGGAAGCCATGGAAACCCGCATCCAGGCAGGGGGTGGGGGAAATGAACTATCCTATGACAAAAATACCATCTGGTGATTGTGGGAAAATTGGGATTTAATGGGATTCAATGGGATTTAATGGCATTCTAAATGCAATTGATGTTATTTTCATGGATGTAGCCATTCTATTTTAAACCCCATGTTGGTTGGGATATGGGGCCGCTTCAACTATGGTTATATATATATATATTAAAATCATCCTGAAGTAGATATAATATCACAATTTCAATAATATTCCCATCTTTGTGAGATTTCTTTAAATAAACATATATCATATCCATATTCGATCTACTCCAAGATTATTGGAAGACAAGAGTAACGAGAAGCAGATTTTGGATGTTGAAGATTGCGTCAAAACCTTCACAACCGATAGGGGGCCACCCACTTTACCCATGGCCTGTTTGAGTAAAAGGATATGTTGTCGCCACTCATATACTGATCTATTGATACATCTGTAGATTGTGATTTCGCTAGAAATACAATGGGGATATAGGGATATAGCAGGACTATATCTGGATCATTTGTAACGACCTCACTGCGACCTCATTGGAATGATGGTTAGTGAATTATTGTAAGCTATCCAAACATATATTGATCCACCAAAAAAGATTGAAATTGGTAAAATCCAATTCTAAAGTAGTGACTAATTTTACCTGTTCATACCTGTTCTATTTTTTTTTGATTACTATTATATTGTGTTTCTTGCAGACATTTAGACTGAGATCTGAAAAGTGACTCCATTTGCGTTTATTGTTCAAGCCTTTTTGAGCTAAAAGAATCGAAACCTAACATTATGAGCATATAATTCCTAGTGTAAACCATATACATACATACATACATGCATACATACATACATGCATACATACATATACATACATATACATACATATACATATGCATACATGCATACATGCATACATGCATACATGCATACATGCATACATGCATACATGCATACATGCATACATGCATACATGCATACATGCATACATGCATACATGCATACATGCATACATGCATACATGCATACATGCATACATGCATACATGCATAGATGCATACATGCATACATGCATACATGCATACATGCATACATGCATACATGCTTACATGCATACATGCATACATGCATACATGCATACATGCATGCATACATACATACATACGACACATACATACATACGACACATACAAACATACGACACATACAATATACGAGACATACAATATACGACACATACAATATACTAATATACGACACATACAATATACGACACATACAATATACGACACATACAATATACGACACATAAAATATACGACACATACATATACGACACATACATATACGACACATACATATACGACACATACATATACGACACATACACATACGCATACACATACACATACATATACATATACATAAATATAAACAGCTATATATATAATATATATATATATATGTGGATATGTTAATATTTACCAGCACATACTATATACTACATTTACCCACTCTATTTGGAGAGTCACCGGTGCTGTTTCAACCTGAAGGCAGCAGTAGTAGCTGAGCATTTCTTAACGTCCGGAGCGTCAGCTGTGCCACCAGTGATCAATCAGATTTGACCTCCGATTTTTGCGTTGGTTCCGCCCTTCAGTTTCTCTGAAACCACACATTGTTCAATCGCCATTTCAGGAACCTCAATTGGAGGTACTTACCATATATAAGGCCTATATAAGGCCTATGTAAGGGAATATCCCTAGAAAATATGCCCTTATATGGTACAGTACCTCTATTTTAGGATCCTGATTGGAGATGGCAATTTTTTGTTGGCCTCTTCACTTTAGGTCGAAGGAGCCACTGCTGGGGGATGATATCAGGGTGCCGCCCGTGTGCCCGCAGCATGGCGCAATGGCACATCGAAATGGGAAACTGAACGCGGCGATTTAATGGGAATTGATGGATACATTACCAACACTAACAACCAACACAAAAAACAGTACCAAAAGGCTTCAAGCAACTGGAAAAGTTGTTAGTCATCGGGGGGGTGGATATCCACTGGACAGATATCCATTGGCCAACAGAGACTGGGAAATCCATTCTTACCAGCGATGTATGAAAACAGATCAAAACTCGACACCATGCAGAATTCTTTTTCGGGATGAAGTATCCAACATTATCCAACTATCCGACACAAACATGCCCTATTCATGACCTACCCTCCAGTAATTTAACATAGCTATTGAAAATGACCATTTATAGTTGATTTACCCATTAAAAATGGTTATTTTCCATAGTTATGTAAGTTTACCAGAGGGTATTCATGACCGGTCATGTTTCAACCATGGGTTGGGTTACAGGATGATCCCACCAAGCCACCAAGGTTGATCAATGTTGAGCTGCCGCCAGCCTTCGGATTTGAGGTCGGGATCCCGAAGAAAAAGCCATGGGTTGAGGGGACTGCCCCTGTCACTGACAGCCATGTCCTAAAATCTGAATTTAATAGATTTTGGATGATTTTGGTACATTGGTACATCCCCAAGAATGAGGTGATATATATATAATATAATATATATATAATATAATATAATATAATATAATATAATATAATATAATATATATATATAATATAATATATATATAATATAATATATATATATAATATTTATTTAATTAATTATTCTTTTTTTAATTTATTTATTTCATAGTCATCCCCAAAAAGATAGAACAATGTCAAATACTCCCAATGTAGTGATAACTTGTTGTTCGATCTTTTTTGGGGGGTTGCTATGCATGGGTTGGGTTTATACCACCAATGGGAGTTCTACTGGGTTTACCACATGATAACTGCGCAGATGTCTTGTTTATTGTTCAACAGTTGAAGGTCAAAATGTCAAGGCTGCACCAAGTTGCGGATTTGCAAAGTGGTTTGACCTTTGCTTGGTTGTCACTTCTTTGGTTCGTCAAGAACCCAGTTACCCAGTAGCCAGACAATGGATCATTACTGCTCTCACAATCAAAACTGCTCACAATCAAAACTGCCATTTACAGTGAATCTTTTGCTGTGAACGGTAAAATTAATGTGAATCAACCTTTCATTTGCGGGATTTCAATCTTCCATGTTCCTAGTTTCGTTTGTTCCCTTCCCCAAATATCACCCTGAACCAACCCGTGTGAAAGCGGGTGGCACGGGAGGTTCATTGTTGCGGCCAGGAATGTGTCGATATCCTGCAGCATCTGGTGGAGTTGATTGAGCAGACGCCTTCTGCACAGGCTTGTCTCAAGGCGCCGTAACAGTGATGTTCAGCCTTTCCGGCTGTGGTTTTGCGAAGCAACTGTGATGAAATTTGAAAAGTATTAAGATCATTCGGATTTCATCATATTTCATCGATCTGAAGGGATGTTTATATTCCAACCTGGCAGAATTCATCTGTAAGGCCCTGGTGAGAAGGGAGAGGACACGGCAGGAGCTGGCCAAGCTTCTCAGGCGGGACCCCCCATTGGTGCTAGAGCTCAAAGCCATATGCTTTAGGCAGGTGAACTGATGCTGATGTTTGATGATTTTCGCTCATTCTTCATATTTTGCTGACAGGAATTGGGATAATTATTCTGAATGAATGATGTGTAAATCATGTCCCGGAACACTTGTAATACATCTATCTACTAGTTGACTAACCAACTATTGGAGGATAGGGGGTATTATCTGACATTACAAGATCTGGCAGTTTCACGGGATTCAAGCAATCTTTGGGAAGCCCCAGATAGAAACAGGGAGTTACACAACAGACACAACATCATTTATGGTTTTAAGAAGCAAAAGGAGCTCTAGAAACAAAGATGGTGATTGATAGAAGCAACAAATCTTGAAGATTGACGGTTGTGTACAATTTTGGCAATCATGCTCATTAATAGGTCCCCCAGAAGGGTATGGGACCTGTCGTTTATGCAATTCACAAGTGTGTTTGATTCCGAATTTCTGGCGTAAGCGGATGTGAAAAACCGTTCATCCTATCCATTGGTTCTTTTCGGTGAGCCGGGAAAGTTGTCAAAATATGTCAAAATTATTGGCCCCAAAATGGATGCTTCAATACTGAAATTTGCCGGTCTATGGCTACCCTGTTTTTGATCCCCAGTTAGTCGACAGCCCAACCTTTAGCGGCACCCATCAACGGCCAGGTCGGGTCTTTTGGTGGTGCCCAGCAATCAGCGAAGTTTCGTGGAATCGCTGGCAGCCGAGGAGAAGTTTTTCTCAATATGGCGATTGGGAAGACAGTTTCGTGGTGATTTTGTAACGAAGCAAGTCGGATTTTTTGGGGCTTTTGGGACTAGCAATCTCTCCTTGAACCAAGGTGTGGATGCTGAATGGCTATAGATCATACTCCTGTGTTCAGTATTTTTGCTGTGATCAAGCCACACTTCTTCAATGGCGCTGATAAAAACTGTATAGATTCATAGATAACATTCATTCCCCACAAATGTTGGGGCCCAAAGCACCATTTCGCTTTGCCATTTTTGCTGGCAATCATTTGAAAGCAGTTGAATTGGTGGACCCATTGACCACCATCTTCAGATTCTTCAGCACGTCCACATGGCAACTGATCTTTGCCGTTTCCATAGGTCGATCATTCACAAATGCTGTTGATTACCATTGCAATCCCCAGAGTTACCCTCTGGTAAACTAACATAACTATGGAAAATCACCATTTTCAATGGGTAAATCCACTATAAATCACCATGTTCAATCATGTTCAATAGCTATGTTAAATTACCAGAGGAGAGGGTATATAGAAGCGGATGATTCTCCGATTGCAATGAGGTTTTCTCAAACATTGCCAGGCTAGATTGGAGGGTAGAGCTCAATACCGGGGCCAAGTCACCGTACCTTGGGGGGTATTTAAATCATGTTCCAATGTTTGTCCTGTAGGACTCCCAAAAATCCACTGGTGATTAATCACCATGTTCCCTATAAACGTATATGGGGATGGGTCAAAATCGATTCTTACCATGTGAATGGGGAATAAGCATCCATTCACCAGCTATGACTTAGGGTTTCAAAACCGGGGGTTTTGACGAAAATAACAATGTCAGCATATGTCACCATATGTCACCATGACATACCATGACATACCATGACCATCAGCAGATGATCGGCAGGACCAGTCACAGGGCAAGGACTTTGCCAGAGAGGAGTTGATTGAGAGCTTCAAGCTGCGCCAGAAGTCGCGCTACCTGGTGCCTCACCTTACGAATGAAGTTTTCCGTTGAAGACAAGAAGAAATGTGGTTTAAATGTGGTGATGATTGATGTTCAATGGGGATTAACCCACTTTTAATGGTGATTTAACTGAAATTTAACTGGTGATAGAATGGGACTGTAACTTTGTAATACTTTATATAATGGGATATTAACGGATGTTATGGAATCTACTTGGTGGTTCAGCCAAGGAATCGTTTTTTTTCACTGGCTTAGTTCCCCCCAGTTGATTTAGTCGGGTAAGTATGATGATCGTCCGGTGACATGCCCTGCCACTTAAGGGGACTCATCTTCCGCATTTTTTGTGGGTTTTCTGGGGCCAGATGCAGGTACAGATCAAAATTACTGGAACCCACTGTAGATGGTTTAATCCCTGATATCTATATATTAATAGAGAAGAATGTATTGATGTATGTATATCTACGTGTGTATACATATATATCTATATTTAACTATATTTACATATTATACATATATACTTCATATATACTACATATATATATATGATATATAGTATCTAGTATAGTCAGATACCATATTTGTTGCCGACATCGAGGTGGCTTTGCAGATGGCCATGGATGCAGAGTTAGAGCAGCAGGACGCCACGGGATGCCAAGGTTGGGGAAAAAGAGATGCCATACCCTCTGGTTATGTCAAAATAGCTATAGAAAATCACCATTTTTATTGGGAAAATCAACTATTTCTATGGCCATTTTCAATAGCTATTTTGACATAACCAGAGGGTAGTAGCAGTTCATAGATGTTGATAGTGGTTGAGAATAGATTTGAACACTGCTCAAATGGAGCCATTAACATACCTTTGTTGATGGGTTTATGTCCGGGGTTACACAAACTGGCGTATCGGGATCGGGAACCAGTTTATAACCCATAATTGCCCATAATAAGAATATTTACTCGCCAACCAGTATCATTTGAATCATTGGATGAGATAGGGGTATTCAGGATATCCCCACCTGTTGATGATGTGAGTTAGGATAATCAACTGGATATCACTAGGATGATTCACCAATATTTTTTTCGGGACATCCAGTTATATCCAGTTGATTCTCACCTCAATGGTGATTTTTGGGATATATTTGGACAACTGGACAACTTGATGGCCGTGGGAGATTACCAGCATGCTGGCCGCCGGCCATCAGGAGATCCCCTGTGTCTACAGCCTCCACAAGATGAGCGACACTTTCCAGGTTCCCCGGCCGCCCAGTGGTTCCCGCATCTCCTGTCAGCTGTGCTTCATTTTGGACTACACGGCGAATATGAAGACACAGATTTCACAGACCAAAGATGCTTGGCGTGAAAATCTTGGCCAAGTCTCCAAAGAACCCGGAAAAATCCACGGAGGATCCACGGAGTTTTTGTTGCAGCCAATAATCCCGCGACAGGATACCCCATGTTATTACATAAGGACATGAATTCCTTGGGACTGGGATAGATCTTAGGGCTCCTCCCAAATTTCCAAAGATATCCGAATCGTTGGGTGTTGGATGTTTCTGCTAATCCCCATGGATCCCAGATGATCCCATCCCAACATATGGGTTTGTCTGAAAATGTTGGGTATATTCCCAATGAAATAGCCATAAAAAATAGGGATAATGATGGATAATGATCAGCAAAACCATTGGGTAAAAAGGGGTACACGACATTTTCAGACACACCCATATCCCAACAAACATTCCAACATCATCCCAGCCATCAGGAAAGCCTCAACAAACTCGTGGATCTCGTGACGAATCTCCGGCTGCGTCACGCCAAAGATGCCTCCATTGATCTGGAGATGACGGCGGTGGCCTACACGGACTGGGACGCGGATTCGGCCAAACTGGGCCGCCCCGTGGTCGCCGCCTTTGGGGGGAAGGACGGCGGCGAAAAACTCATGGGAGCTGGAAAAATATGGAAAAATGATGAACATTGGTGAGAAATGATGTTGTATTGCATGAAGGTACTAAGTCTTTATCTGTTTGTGTTCCAAATTGCTTTTCCAAGGATATTTGATGAGATTTCGGGTATAATAGGGCCCCCCAAACCCATGGTTTCGCAGCCGCATCATTCTTTTCCACTAAAAAGCATTTTTTTCTAGTATACCCCATTATCAGACAAAGACCAAATATCATATGCGTGGTTATCCATCCCATCAATATTCCATTACATACAAGCATTGTTGGTTAATTATACACTAATCTCCCATTATTTACCCTCTGGTAAATAAACATAGACCTTGAACATCACCCATTTTTAATGGAAACTAGTCTTCCAACCCCGACAACTGCCAGGGTCTATGTTAATTTACCAGAGGGTATACCACCGGTTTGGTTTTTCCCGGCGCTCCGTTGTCAAACGATATAGATCCCCAGGAGATCAAACGCTCGCACGACAGCAGCTTGACGCCCGCGGATTTCGATCTCGGCGGAAAGTTCACCAAAGATGCGTCACTCGGCGAAGTGCCTGGGGAACGACCATGGAATGGATTGGCTAAAGGATGTTAAAGGGCTAAGGGAAGAATTTCTGGGAAACCAAGGATATTGCAAAATAGCGGCACGTTGTGGTTCATGATATTTGGATTTAAGGCAACATCATAAAAAACATCCCCAAAGCAGAGTTCATTGGAATGCTCAGGTCAGCATTGCGAAGTTGGATCGAACAAGGATTCGGTCATGGAGGGCAAATTCCTGAGGAACTCACAGGCTGGAAATTGGGAAACCAAAAGACCCTCAGTCCCAGTAGATCCGTGTAGGTGGTTCAACCCTGAAATAGTGAAGCCAGAGAGCGAGGACTTTGCACGTGGATTTGTTTTCCATCTTTTTCCGATGTGGCTGTGGCGGTGTCCAAAAAATTGGGAACACATGATTTACTGTATCAGCATCTTCTCATTAGAGGTGTCATATAAACCATTTCAAGCCACACCCAAGTTGGATATCGTTGGTTATAACTTATAACCATCATATCAATCATATCCCCCCATTATATCTCATATCCACGTTATGTCTCCATTTCACAAGAAACATGACAGAGTTCACCAGACCGCTGGAGACCGCTCGACGCAGGTGCGATGCTGGCGGCTTCCTACCTGCCATGGAGCGCGCAAGAGAAACTGGCAGTGATCATCACAGATGCCCCATGCCATGGGAAGGACTGTGATTTGGCAGTGTGTCAAAACCTTGTACCTCTGGTGAACATCAAAATAGCTGGTAAATGGATGTTCATCCCAACTAAAAATGGTATTAATAGGTATTGATCCATAGCCATTTCTGTGAACTTCAAAACGGCCATTTTTCATAGGAAATCCCATGGATTTGGGGTCAGATCCCAGAAAAATTCTCCAACGAAGGCGGCGTTTAACGTTGCAACAGGACTACAGCTCGGTGATCCATGACCCCTTTTGCGATCCAACGACCGGCCTCACCTGTACAGGTCTGGGGGCCAAAAGTAAACCACTCAGCAACTGTGGGCGAATATGAGATACCATCTGGGTATTTAACATAGCCATGGAAAATGGCCCATTTATAGATGGTTCACCTATTAAAAATGGTGATTTTCCATGGCTATGTTAAATAGCCAGACGGTACTGAGTGAGTAAACGGTTAGTTAATCATCGACACCCAAAATTCCAAGGTTTCAGATCGTGCGACGCCCTTTTGTTCGCCATCTTTTTCTTCGGTGCAGGTAAACCGGAAGTGCCTTTGCGCCGGATGATGCAGAAGGGAGTCCGGGTCGTCGTCTTGCACACAGGTCGGGTCCATCCTACCAGCCTTACAGGTCGTTTGTGTGCCAAAATGGCGAAAAAGACGATAGGATCGAGAAGTAATAAGTAGATATAAGTAGAAGGACCTCATCCTCCTTTTTCTCCTCCAAATTTCACCATGCATCGTTTATCCCTTCGCAGCATCGCACTTGGACAGGTGAAGCACACGCGGTGAGCATGTGCAGCCGCTTGCAGGAAACGGATCCGCACCTTGACTCATGTGGTGATCGCTGTGGGTTGGCAACTGGTATTCTAATGGGAAAATGCAGATTTCAAGTTTTTTTTTATGTGCAGATCCTGGTTTGCAAACAGATGATATAGAGTTGCAGTGGATTTTTCTGGATTTTCAACTTAGCCATGTCGGTGTACCATCTACGTGACGAATTGACTCGCTGGAGTGATTGAGATCCAGGATGGAGAGCTTCATTTCGGTTGTCAATAGGACGTACGTGTACCGTACCATATGTTACCATGCCACCGTGGAAAGTGAGGAAAACCAGGACCTCCAGGGATAGCCATCCCCTCCAAGGAGACTTCTCCATGAGAAGGTGAGTCCTCTAGAAACTTGCCAGAAATTGGTCTCCGTGGTGGAAGCGAAATTGCAAGTGCAGCCTCTGCACTATGCACCTTGGACATTAGCAATCCAACTTTTTGTGGGAACATGTGGGAAGTCTCAGTTTTTTTTTTGTGAGACTAACTTTCCATGAGTGTTTCTATTTTCAGTCTCAACATTCATCCAGATCCATGATATAGAAACGAACATTACCTATAGATGGATTTTATGATCATCTATCTGGATACCTATAGATCATCACTGGATCTGGATGAATTATAACTGGATCCATGATATAGATGATTTTCCCAGCATTTCCCAGCTTCTTTCAAGCTCCAAATGGGGGGATTCTTCGCCGCGGTTCCAAGTTGCTGAAGCCCTACCAACTGAATCCCAGCGGTGACTCGCTACCACTGGCCTTAAACCACGATGTGGAGATCAATGAGGCTGGTGTGTCGCTTGGTACAAAGACTCTCAGAGAAGTGGGGATTTACCAGGATTTACCATGAGCATTCTATGAAATTATGTTTAAACCTCGATTGTTTTTGGGGGTCGATTTTCAGACAAGTTGCCATAGTTTGATGTACTTTGCTACATGTCAATCAACATCTTCTCAACATATTTTCAGACAAAATCCATAGTTTGCTACCATCTTTGTCGATCATAGTTTGATGTGGTCAACATATTGATAATTCTTGAGGATAAACCCTGGTTGACCTTAATTTGGCGGCCTTGTGGATCTTCAAGGCCTTGGAATGGATAGATTATTGCCATATGATGATTGAATCATTACTCTATGATACTCTATGTAATGATTAGATTATTACTATATGATGACTCATTGTTTAGTAATCCCTTTCCCGCAAAACAAAACACAAAAGACATAATGATTAGACATGATTAGAATATCCAATTGTTTCAGACTCAGAACATGTACCAGAAGTACCAGAAAATCATCCAGGCGATCACCAGGCATCAAAAAATGTTGGCAACTCACCAAGAAAATCCATCAACAAAATCCATGAAGATCAACATCAACTTGGCTATCATCATCTACCATCTACCATCATCTACCATTCACCATGTCATCACCATGTCATCACCATGTCAGCACCATGTCATCACCATGTCACCATGTCATCCTCTGGGGTTTTCCAACTGAGGAAGGAGAAGCAGAACACGGGCGGCGACGGTCTGATCTTTGTGGGTCATCGTGTGACTCCCACGGTGACCGTCGGACGCCCTGCGGAGTCAGAGCTGGATGCCTGGTTCGAGCGGAAGAGTGACCAGGTGCGCTTGGAAAAAGCTTGGAACACATGGGAAGAATCGGGGGGATCCATTAGAAATAGATGATAATAGATGAAAATCGATGATAATAGATGATAATAGATGGTAATAGATGAAAATCGATGATAATAGATGATAACGGACCACAATAGATGATAATAGATGATAATAGATGGTAGTAGATCATAATGGATGTTAGTAGATGATAATAGTTTCTAATGGATGATAATAGATGTGTTTCTTTTGATTCCTTTTTGTTGGGTCATACATAGCTTCCATGGCTGTCTCATGTGTTTCTGAGTTTGAACTCGTTGCTCGTTGGATGGCGATGGATCCGACTGCATCGTGGCTGAGAGCTTCTGACGCTCAAATTGTAGGCATGAACATATACATATGTAAATACATATATAAATACATATATAAATAGATATGTATATAGATATGTGATATATACATATATATATATATATACATATCTAATGGTTGTTTTTTTGGGCGGTGATATTCTTTTGAAGGATATTTGGTCACTTTTTTGTCATCCCCAGGTGGAGTTGCCGCCGGATTTTGACGGCAAGAAGACGTATTTGTTCAAGATGCCGACCAAGACGTGACCCGGGGGAAGGCCGGTGGTGAACTCTGCGGATACTGCGGCTGGTGACGTCACTGAAGACGAGGTACTCAGTCATCAAAAGAGTTTCCCCAAATAAATAAATGGGCTAACGCCCTGGTGCCGCCGACCCCCATTTTGAGGGCCATGGTTATCCGATGTTATGCGATGTTATCCCACATGTTTCCATATTTGTCATGTTTTGTCCATGATTTTCACCAGGATTCCCAGGCGCTGGCAAAAGGCTGCCGCTGCAGGGCAACGTGTTTGTGGTGACCTGGGAAGACAGCGGCAAAGCGATAAAGGCCCACAGAGGGGTTTTGTGGCGTGATGGGCTGTGCTTCGCGCACGTTTTGAAACCCTCTAAATGGAGTATGGCGACATGGCCAGGCGCTGGCAAAGGGCTGCCGCTGCAGGGCAACGTGTTCGCGGTGACCTGGGAAGGCAGCGGCAAAGCGGTAAAGGCCCACAGAGGGGTTTTGTGTCGTGATGGGCCGTGCTTCGCGCACGTTTTGAAACCCTCTAAATGGAGTATGGCGACATGGCCAGGCGCTGGCAAAGGGCTGCCGCTGCAGGGCAACGTTTTCGCGGTGACCTGGGAAGGCAGTGGCAAAGCGGTAAAGGCCCACAGAGGGGTTTTGTGTCGTGATGGGCCGTGCTTCGCGCACGTTTTGAAACCCTCTAAATGGAGTATGGCGACATGGCCAGGCGCTGGCAAAGGGCTGCCGCTGCAGGGCAACGTGTTCGCGGTGACCTGGGAAGGCAGCGGCAAAGCGGTAAAGGCCCACAGAGGGGTTTTGTGTCGTGATGGGCCGTGCTTCGCGCACGTTTTGAAACCCTCTAAATGGAGTATGGCGACTGGCCAGGCGCTGGCAAAGGACTGCTGCTGCAGGGCAACGTGTTCGCGGTGACCTGGGAAGGCAGTGGCAAAGCGGTAAAGGCCCACAGAGGGGTTTTGTGTCCTGATGGACCGTGCTTTGCGCACGTTTTGAAACCCCAAGCGGTAAAGGCCCACAGAGGGGTTTTGTGTCGTGATGGGCCGTGCTTCGCGGACGTTTTGAAACCCTCTAAATGGAGTATGGCGACTGGCCAGGCGCTGGCAAAGGACTGCTGCTGCAGGGCAACGTGTTCGCAGTGACCTGGGAAGGCAGTGGCAAAGCGGTAAAGGCCCACAGACGGGTTTTGTGTCGTGATGGGCCGTGCTTCGCGCACGTTTTGAAACCCTCTAAATGGAGTATGGCGACTGGCCAGGCGCTGGCAAAGGACTGCTGCTGCAGGGCAACGTGTTCGCGGTGACCTGGGAAGCCAGTGGCAAAGCGGTAAAGGCCCACAGAGGGGTTTTGTGTCCTGATGGACCGTGCTTCGCGCACGTTTTGAAACCCTCTAAATGGAGTATGGCGACATGGACAGGCGCTGGCAAAGGGCTGCCGCTGCAGGGCAACGTGTTCGCGGTGACCTGGGAAGGCAGTGGCAAAGCGGTAAAGGCCCACAGAGGGGTTTTGTGTCGTGATGGGCCGTGCTTCGCGCACGTTTTGAAACCCTCTAAATGGAGTCTGGCGACTGGCCAGTGCCAGGCGCTGGCAAAGGACTGCTGCTGCAGGGCAACATAATCGCAGTGACTTGGGAAAGCAGTGGCAAAGCGGGAAAGGTCCACAGAGGGGTTTTGTGTCGTGATGGGCCGTGCTTCGCGCACGTTTTGAAACCCTCTAAATGGAGTATGGCGACTGGCCAGGCGCTGGCAAAGGACTGCTGCTGCAGGGCAACATGTTCGCAGTGACTTGGGAAAGCAGTGGCAAAGCGGTAAAGGCCCACAGAGGGGTTTTGTGTCGTGATGGGCCGTGCTTCGCGGACGTTTTGAAACCCTCTAAATGGAGTATGGCGACTGGCCAGGCGCTGGCAAAGACTGCCGCTGCAGGGCAACGTGTTTGCGGTGACCTGGGAAGGCAGTGGCAAAGCGGTAAAGGCCCACAGACGGGTTTTGTGTCGTGATGGGCCGTGCTTCGCGCACGTTTTGAAACCCTCTAAATGGAGTATGGCGACTGGCCAGGCGCTGGCAAAGGACTGCTGCTGCAGGGCAACGTGTTCGCGGTGACCTGGGAAGGCAGTGGCAAAGCGGTAAAGGCCCACAGACGGGTTGGCGACTGGCCAGGCGCTGGCAAAGGAGTGCTGCAGGGCAACGTGTTCGCAGTGACTTGGGAAAGCAGTGGCAAAGCGGTAAAGGCCCACAGAGGGGTTTTGTGTCGTGATGGGCCGTGCTTCGCGCACGTTTTGAAACCCTCTAAATGGAGTATGGCGACTGGCCAGGCGCTGGCAAAGGACTGCCGCTGCAGGGCAACGTGTTTGCGGTGACCTGGGAAGGCAGTGGCAAAGGGGTAAAGGCCCACAGACGGGTTTTGTGTCGTGCTGGGCCGTGCTTCGCGCACGTTTTGAAACCCTCTAAATGGAGTATGGCGACTGGCCAGGCGCTGGCAAAGGACTGCTGCTGCAGGGCAACGTGTTCGCTGTGACCTGGGAAGGCAGTGGCAAAGCGGTAAAGGCCCACAGACGGGGTTTTGTGTCGTGATGGGCCGTGCTTCGCGCAGGTTGTGAAACCCTCTAAATGGAGTATGGCGACTTGCCAGGCGCTGGCAAAGGACTGCTGCAGGGCAACGTGTTCGCAGTGACTTGGGAAAGCAGTGGCAAAGCGGTAAAGGCCCACAGAGGTTTTGTGTCGTGATGGGCCGGGCCGTGCTTCGCGCACGTTTTGAAGCCCTCTAAATGGAGTATGGCGACATGGCCAGGCGCTGGCAAAGGGCTGCCGCTGCAGGGCAACGTGTTCGCGGTGACCTGGGAAGGCAGTGGCAAAGCGGTAAAGGCCCACAGAGGGGTCTTGTGTCCTGATGGACGGTGCTTCGCGCAGGTTTTGTCACCCTCTAACTGGAGTATGTGCGACTGGGCCAAGAGCGCTGGCAAAGTGACCCCCCTGTGCTGCCGGCACGGTTCCGCTGTGACCTGGAAGGCAGTTGCAAAGCGAGAGTAAATGCCCCACAGAGGGGGTTTTGTGTCGGTGATGGGCCGTGCTTCGGCGCACGTTTTGAAACCGTTGAAATTGAGTATGGCGACTGGCCAGCGGGTCGCTGGCAAGGACTTGGGCTGCTGCATGTCCACGTGTTCTCAGTGACCTTGGGGAAAGCAATTGGCAAAGAAGCGGGAAAGATGCCCACAGAGTGGTTTTGTGTCCTGATGGACCGTGCTTCGCACACGTTTTGAAACCCTCTATATAAATGGATTATGGCGACTGTGGCCAGGCGCTGGCACAGGGCTGCCGCTGCAGGGCAACGTGTTTGCGGTGACTGGGAAGGCAGTGGCAAAGCGGTAAAGGCCCACAGACGGGTTTTGTGTCGTGATGGGCCGTGCTTCGCGCACGTTTTGAAACCCTCTAAATGGAGTATGGCGACTGGCCAGGCGCTGGCAAAGGACTGCTGCTGCAGGGCAACGTGTTCGCAGTGACCTGGGAAGGTAGTGGCAAAGCGGTAAAGGCCCACAGAGGGGTTTTGTGTCCTGATGGACCGTGCTTCGCGCACGTTTTGAAACCCTCTATATTATATAAATGGATTATGGCGACATGGCCGGTGACCTGGGAAGGCAGTGGCAAAGCGGTAAAGGCCCACACGGGGGTTTTGTGTCCTGATGGCCCGTGCTTCGCGCAGGTTGTGAAACCCTCTAAATGGATGTAGTGGAGTATGGCGATATGGCGACATGGCCAAGCGCTGGCAAAGGGCTGCCGCTGCAGGGCAACGTGTTTGCGGTGACCTGGGATGCTTCGCGCAGGTTGTGAAACCCTCTAAATGGATGGAGTGGAGTATGGCAATATGGCGACATGGCCAAGCGCTGGCAACGGGCTGCCGCTGCAGGGCAACGTGTTCGCGGTGACTTGGGAAGGCAGTGGCAAAGGCTTGGACCATGCAGGCCGATGTCCTAGCAGGCCAAAGCCGCACACCTGCGGTGATCCCGGGCGCCGCCCCGCCTGGGCCAAGGCTAGGCAGGGGTCGGCGGATATATATATATATATATATATTACATTAGTAGTTATCCTAGTTTTATTTAATTACATATATAACATATATATATATATATGATATGTATCATATATGTATATAATCCAGTTGCTATGAAACAACACAAGAGGACATTTGAACATAGTCCCAGTGAAATCTGACATCGTCCCCTTTTTGGGATATCCACCTGGTTCCGACAAAGCGATTTAAGCTGATCGGTGACATAGGGAATCTCATGAACCATGACCAGCAATTGTGGTACCCTCTGGTAATTTAACAACTATGGAAAATCACCATTTTCAATGGGTAAATCCACTATAAATGGGCCATTTTCAATAGCTATGTTAAATTACCAGAGGGTAGTTGTGGTTTATGTCATATATCTGGGTAAATTAAAACGACCTCACTGTTCTCCCTCACTATAATCATAGTAAGGGAAATCATCCCCATGGCTGGCCGCAAGATTTCAGGTTCGTGAAATATTATAATTTACCCAGATTAATTGTGGTAAATATAAGATATGAAGATAATCCCCAAAGGTACAATGTGAGGCCCCCGTTCGATAGCTAAGTTGGTGTATAACTCCAATTTCACTATGGTTCAATGGTTTATGTTATTTTTAACGAACTAGTTACTGGGGCTTATAAACCAACAAACATCACTGGGGAGCCCCACATTGTATCTCAAATAAACGTATATGATTATCTATCTATCTATCTATCTATCTATCTATCTATCTATCTATCTATCTATCTATCTATCTATCTATCTATCTATCTATCTATCTATCTATCTATCTATCTCTCTCTCTTCTGATGGTGGAATTATGGATTGGATAAATTTCATGTTTTTATATTCTCTCTACATTCTCCCAGAACTGGACGATAGGAACATGACTTAAGTTTTTTTTTAGTTAGCGAGAATAGTGACGAAACAACTGCAGATTCGCTTTCAAGAAACTGTTGAT